AAGCCGGGAACAAGGGCAGCTCGGCGGATCCCGCCCGGGCTCGCTCGGGCCGAGGCAGCCCGGCCGCAGGTGCCTCCCTCTGGCTCTGATCCTCGGCTTTTAGTTTTGGGAGGCAAAATCCCGCCCTCCCTCTCTCCTGCCTCTGCCACGCGCTTCCCCCGTGCTCCTGCCGGCAGCGGGGAAGGGATCCAGGGAAAACCCAGCGCTGTTGGAGCAGCTCTGCACGGATCGTTCCCAGGCTGGAGCCCAGCATCGCGTAAGGAAAGGGAGATGTTGGTGCGGGGAGAGGGAGAAGCTCCGGGCGCCTCCTGGCCAAGCCGCAGCCTGGAGGCGAGCTGGGGGTCTCTGGAAGGAGCTGTGTGCCTCGGGACGGCGGGCGCGGGCCGGTGGTGGTTTCCCTTTGCTGGGAATTCCTGTGCCCACCGGCTCCGTCTTCTCTTGGGGGATCCACTCCCCGACTGTTCCTGCTCCTCCTGTAGTCCAGGACGCTCAGGACGGTGATTTTCCTGCAGGAGCGGCTTCCTGCTAAGAAAATCCCTCGAGGACAGCCTGGTTTTCTCCCTGTGCTTGCACTGGAAGTGGCTCTTGGCAGGGAGACCTCGCCATCAGCGCTGTGGAGCCCAACCCTGTCTTACCCTGGATCTCTATCCCTGATGTATCTGGGAGCCAGGACAGAGCAAGATCTGTTGAGGGCAACTGAGGTAGCTGCTGCAGTGTCTCTGCTGGGCTGTGGATGCTCCTCATAGCCCCCAGCCCCCCCCTGGAGCAGCCTCATCCTGGCACCGTGTCTGGGACCATCTTATCCAGGACTTGTCCCTGGCAGTGACCGTGTAGGGGAGGAAAAGCCGGGACAGGGCCATGGAGCATTCCGGGTGCTCGCCAGCCTTTGGCCAACCTCATTCTAGGGGATTTCTGTGTGTTTGGTGACCCTGGGGAGGGGTTCTTGGTGCCATCTCCTCAAGCAAGGGCACCTCTCCCCATCCCCTTTGTGGTGCCCCTTGGCATCAGCCTGGTCAGGGCTAAATCCGCTCTCCTGGATTAAGCGGTGGGGATTTAAGGGATGATGCAGGGGAAGCTGGAGCAGGCTGAGCTCTCAGAGGGAGGCTCTGGAGCAGGCTGGAGCCCCTTTATCCAGCATGGGGGCAGGGGGGTTGAAGGCTTCAGTGCCTCCGTGGTAGAAGTTTCGGCTTCAGGGCAGTGTGGCATCAATGTGGCATCACCATTTGGGACAGGCTGTCTGTCCCAGAGCCATGGCGTGGCTGAGGCATCAGGCAGGGACAAAGCCTTGGGTGCCATGCCAAGAGATGGTATTTTGGTGCTTCTTGCTGGTAGAGTCTCCCTTCTCTTCCAGACACATCCTTTGACCTGAGCTTCTCCTAACCGCCCCCCAAACCCCGGTGTGATCATGCCATCCCACAATGCTTGGGTTTGGGGACCGTGCGGGCAGCTCGTTTCCTTTGCACACACTGGTTGTGGGGAGCTGGGAGCTGGTTCTAAGCCTGGTCACTTGTATTCAGGTTTTCTGCAGCCCCATGTATATGTGCTGCATCTTCAGGGAGCAGTCCCTGTGCTTCCAGCTGGGATTCAGCCTGGCTCCATTGCATCGGGACAGTGTTTTGGCAGGCCCCTGAGGCTGCGGGCACACGGGGTCTTGCGCTGTCGGGGTGCAGCACCCCCATCCTGGGTTCTTCCTGGGTCTGTGGGGAGTCGCTGAGATGGGTTTCCCTTCAGATGAGTCCCCTGGAGCGGTTTCAAGGTGTGTCCGGGGAAGTACAGGCGGCAGAAGAGCCCCTCTGCCTGTAGGAAGCGGTTGGTACGGCTTCTGCCGCACTGCATCACCCCTGCGGGCACCGGGATGTGCTCCAGCTCCGTGCTGTCCGGCCTGCCTGTGCCCCACCTGCTCTGGCAGCCGAGCTTCTTCCCTTGAGTAGTTTCCTCTCCATATTCCGGGGCTGTTTCCGGGCTCCTCCGTGCTGCCGGGGCCTGTGGATCGCTGCTGCAGCCCCTGGGACCGCGCTCCGCTTTGGCTCTTGGTGCCAGCCGCGCGGCAGCAATCTCTGGTTGCGGTTTGCCGAGGGCGGATGTGTCACCTTTCTGGCCCACCGGGTGATAACCTCCCTGGGAGAGTGTTTGCTTTACCTGTCCCAGCTGATAAGCACCTCTGATAAAACCCAGGATAGCAAATAACAGGCTTTGAGGAGAGGGGAGGGATGAAAGGAGGGAGCTGGTGGCCTTGGCAAGGGCTCTGCCCTGGGAAGACGCTGTTTTGCCAACACAGAGGAACAGATCCTGGCCTTCACTGGTCAGGATCTCCGGGAAGTTTCATAAACCTCTGGCTCCTGAGGAGCGGCTCCTCTGTGGAGGGAGCTATGGCAGGAGGTGCTGCTCTTTGGCCGCGCGGCTGCAAGTGCCGAGGAGTTCCTGGCAAGGAACATCCTTATTTTTTCCTCCACATGACGTGGGAAGTCACAGCAATGTTCCTGCTGTCCTTGACTGGCAGATACCAACCACTGTGTGCGGGCTGGGACCGAAGGGAGTGCATTTATGGCTCCAAACCACACCTCTTCCATCTTTCCCTCTCCCCTGGGGGCTAACGGACTTCTCCTCGCAGTGCCAAGCCGATGCATGAAAAAGCAGCTCCCCTGAAGAGCCCCGAGCCCATGCACGGCCGTGAGAAGCTGGAGACATCCCACAAGCAGAGGAGTTTGGATTCCCTCGACGGCAGGTGAGGGGCAGCGGGGTCTGCAGTCAGATGTTTGCTCTTTATCGCTCCTGTTGTGACCTCCTGCAGCACCCCTGCTGCTTCCAAGCTCCCACCGGCTCAGAGTGGGCACAGGGGGTCCCCTTTTGTTTTCACTCTTACAGACTGGCAGGGAGGGAAGGGGGGGTTTGGGGAAGGGACCGGTATTCCGCTGCTGGGGGGATTTCACTGTCTCTAGTTTCTTCCTTCATTGGCTGGCGTGGTGGATGCAGATGGATGCCCCTGGGCCCATCCTCCTGCCGGGGCGTGTTCCCAAACTTCCATTTGTGCTTTCCCTGGGGAAACCTTGCCCTGGCTGGAGCTGCTCCTAACCTGTCCCTGCTGCTGCTGGTGCTCCTTCCCCTGTGCTAGGGTGTATTTGGGTACAGGCACCTCAATGCTGGTGCCTCCACCATCAGCTGTTACTTAACATCCAGATGTGCCTTCCCAGGGTCTCTCTTCCATCCTGTGCATCTTGCTGTGTCTCCTCTTGCAGCTCCCGTGTTTGAGGGAGCGGGTGAGACCTGGGGCTCCTCACTCACCTGATGGTTGTTATTTTGCCTTCCAGCCTCCGCCTGAATGAAGCCCTGAAGGATGAGGACATCAAGAAATGCCACCGGGAAGTGGTAAGTCTTGAGCTTCGTGAGTGAACAGCCTGGTTCCTTGGAGCCCGACCCTGGCCATTTGCCATGGAGGAGCCTGCTCCAGGTGTAGGGTAGAGGCTCCTGTCTGCATTTCCAGGGGAGCCAGTGATGGTTTCAACTGGTCTGTGATCTGCCTTGCAAGCACTTTCAGGATTTTCCATCCAGAGCAAAGGAGAGAGCAGAAATCTTGACTGCAGGCAGCTCAGTTCCCGTCTGTTTGAACCTCTTTGGTTGTTCAGATCGTGCCCAAAGTGGAGCTTTCTGGTCCACCTGCAAACAGGAGATGCTTTGGAAGAGGCAGGAGCAGAGGGAGGAGTTGTTCTGCCTTTCCCCACAAAGAAGTCAGAGAAGAAAAACATTTTGCTGATTAATCAGAGGCCCCTGTGGGGGTTATGGGGCTGTGCTGAGGCCGGGGAGTGTTTCTTGAGGGTAGCTTGGAGGTGATGCCACGATCCCCCCCCTTCCCCCTGAAACACCCCACCAGCACTCCCACCACTCTCCGGGGGGTGTCTGAGCCAACCCCAGGTGGTGCCGAGCCTTGATCCTCTTACAGCCCAGCTCATCCAGTGACGGGGTGTGTGGTGCAAAGGTGACCCTGTCACTGCGGGCAGGACAGGAGGGCTCTGCCGTGTCCCTGGGGAGCACCGGGAGCTCCAGGCAGGGGACACAACCCTGCCTTCACAGGGCTGGCTTACTGCACAGCTCCAAACTGCTTTGGAGCCTTTCCCTTATCCCCAGAACCTGCCGAGCTCCCGCGGCAGCCTTTGAAGAGACACCGGGAATATAAATAGCAGGATGGCGCGGTGTGATGGGCACGGAGCAAGTGCTGTCACCGTGCCCCGGATAAGGGAAGAGCTCGAGGAGGAGGAGAGAAGCCGCTGGGCAAGATAAATCGCCTGCGGATGAGGCTGGGAGAAGCCCAGCTCCTGGCAGAGGCTCCGCAGCCTCCATAGGGGTTGAGGGGGGATGTTTACCTGGGATGATGGCGCAGCGTCTGCTGGGTGCGGGATCATCTGAGCCTCCTCCAGCCCCTCGTGCCCAGCGTCCCCAGCCCGGTGGGACCCCCCTGCGCCGGTCCCAGGTGTGGGCAGAGGGTGGTTTTGTTGCAGGAGGGTGTTTTGAGGGGTCTCCTCATCAACGAGCTCACCGGATAACTTTGCTTTGCTTCCTTTTCAGGCCGCTAGCAAGTACAACTCCCAGTACCACAAGCTGTTCAAGGACATCCCCACGGAGGAGAGCGTGCTGAAAGGTGGGTGATGCAGTGAGGGACGGGCATGGTGGTGGCAGGATCTGGCCCATGGTCTGCCATGGCCCTTTGTCTGCCTTGCAGTTTGCTCCTGCGCGCTCCAGAGGGACATCCTCATCCAGGGAAGGCTTTACATCTCCCCCAACTGGCTCTGCTTCTACGCAAACCTTTTTGGGAAGGATATCAAGGTAACGTTGGGGCCGGCTCACCCCAGTGCCGTAGGGCTCATAGATGTGGCTACACTGCAGTTATCCCCTCCTGCACCCAAATAACCCCAAAATCACCATCAAAAGCCCCTGTGCTTTTGAGGGGAGTGTGGCTGCTCCTCCTCCTCAGATCACCCCTAGCATCAGCCTGGGGAAACCAAATATTGGTTTGGTTTAGAGTTCCCTGATGTAAAACCTCCTACAAGCCGCAGGAGCGTTTGAAGGAAGATCAAAGCTTTGGGGGGGGGAAGATTTGAATCTCTCCTGGCTTTTCTTCTTGATTTACAGTCTGAAGCTTCCCCGTTAGCCTTGTGGCTGATTGAGATCTTGGGGAGAGACGGCTTCCTTTAAAACTGGGCTGAAGAGCTGAACTATTTCCATCAGCCGCTTTAAACAAATACCTGATGGAGGAATGGGGTTCAACGAAGTCATCCTGCCACGGATACATCCTGCTTTAGTTTTAACTCTCCCTGGGCTTGTGGTGGGTTTCAGACTCACCGGGGGGTGTTTTCCCCATGTCCCTGCTGTTTTGCTTGAGTATAAACTGTCTCCGAGCCGAGATTAGCCCAGGGGGATGACGTGAGCTCTGATAAACCCCAGGCTGCTCTGCTTGGGGTGTAATTCTGATGTGTGCTGCGTGTGTGCCTTGTGAAGGAGCCTCCTGGCGCTCACCCCACCCTTGTGTCCTTTGTCCTCCAGGTGGTGATCCCGGTGGTGTCCGTGCAGCTGATAAAGAAGCACAAGACCGCTCGGCTGCTGCCCAACGGCCTGGCCATCACCACCAACGCCAGCAGGAAGGTAACACCGGAGCCCCGCCGCAGCCCTGCTCTGAGTTAGCTCTGCTTTGAGAGCAGGGAATGAAGCGATTCCAGCTGGGAATGGAGCAGTGCTGTCCGTGCTGGCAGCTGGCCAGGGCAAACACCGTGGCTTTGCTTTCGTTTCTGAATTTCACTTTGTTTCTGGGCGAAGCAAAGCCCAAGTGAAACTCGGTCGAGCCTGACAAATCCCCACCAGGCTCAAATAAAACCTTTAAACTCCTTTAGCACAAGCAGGGGAGGGGCTGGGGCTGGTGTTCATCCCAGCTGCTGGAAAGCTTGGATAAGGGGCTGAATTTCCAGCTGCTAAATCACAGTGGGTGTTGGCTGCAGTGAGCTGACGTGGTCCTGCCCGGTGTGTCTTGAGTCCTTGCCTGCTGGCAGCAGCGTGCGTTGCCCATCCCCTGCCAGGGTTATTCCCGTGGGGTTTTGGGAGGGGGTGATTCCTGCAGGATTTAAGCAGGATTTGGGTGTTCAAAGCAATCTGGCTGCAAAGCTGCTCTGCGTCAGGTGAGGTAGGCACTGCCCCGTGTCCCCTTGTGCCAACCCATGGGGATGTTTTCCATCGCTCCCGGCCCCGTTCGCTGCCACATCCCTCTGGGCTGATCCCGGGAGCCCCCACTGGAAGAGCAGCTGAGCAAGACTGACCCCAAAAAAATCTGGTCCAGGTTTTAGGTGGCTGCAAAAATAACAGCAGGGAGCTCCGCAGGGAGGTGCCTGCAGGGGGATGCGGCTCCCGAAGGAGGGGAAATTCAAGGGCAGGACGTCTCTGTCTGTCCCCTGCCTGTGGAGAGCAGGACTCGGGATGGGGGAATCTCTCCTGGCAGCTCCTCTCTTTCTCTTGCAGTACATCTTCGTGTCCCTCATCTCCCGTGACAGTGTCTATGATGTCCTGAGGAGAGTCTGCACGCACCTGCAGGTACCTTTCACCCGTGTTTTGGTGTCCACAGGGCTCTGCACTGGCCTCCAGGGCTGTGTTTCAGGGAGCAGAACCCTTCAACCCCCACCCCATCACGGCTTTAGACGCTCCCAAAGCCCTCCCTGGTGCCCTGCTGCCTCTTCCCAGCGTCCTCACCCTGCAGCAAGGGACGGGAGGAGGGACAGGAACCGTGCCCTGGGCACATCTTGTCCCCAGGAGCTGCCACTGGGCTTTTCTGGGTCATGGATGACAGAGGCAGAGCCCGGAGTTCCTGCTCTCTCCCAGGGCGTGTAGGTGAATTATGCATAATCCGGTAGCAATACGAGTTCTGCCACTGCGCACATCGGGGGCCGTGCCCCAGGGCTGGAGCTTGAAGGGGAGGAAAAACGGTACAAAGTCAAGGAAAATTTGAATCAAAATGTCTAAGGGGGGAAGAGCCCTGGAGCATCAGCCCTGGAGCTGAGGAGCAGGACTGCGGGGATCTCCCTCTCCTTGCCTTTGAAGACGTGGGAAGCAGTGCCGGGGCCCTTCCCCACCTGGCAGGGTGTCTGCTGGCTGTGTGGGGTGGTGATTCGGGTGACTCAGCTCCATTGCCAAACTGGGGGATTTAGCCTTTGAAATGTGCTGGGCTCTGCCTACATATTCCCGTTTCCCTCCTCACAATGCTTCATCCCCTCTGCTGGAAGCTGAGGCTCAAACAGAGCCGTGGCCCCATAGGGTTTTTGGTGATGGGAAGCAGTGATGCAGGGCCCTGTCCTCTGCCAGGTGCTGTTCTTTGTCCTCACATCCCTGTTAAGCAGCTGCTCTTCACAGACCCTCCAGGAAAGTCAATGCTCAGTTTCCTGGCGCAGGTTGAGGCGGGGAGGGGCAGCACCATCACCCCCGTTCCTTTCTGCTTCCAGGTTTCGAGTAAGAAGAGCTTGAGCTTGAAGGAGCTGACGGAGGAGCCTGATGCTGTGTCACTGGTGAGGGTCAGGGCGGCTCTGGGAGAGGGAAGGAGCCCTGTGACCTCCCCTTGGGTGGGTTTAACACCTTCCCAGCGCTGGTGAGCCAGGTCCAGTGTGGAGTTGGTCCCTCTCCCCTCAAGGCTGGCAAAGGTCATGTGAGGATGTGGCTGTTGCCTTCATAGTGCGTCCTCTGGGATGCTTATGCCCTGAGGTGGCACAAACAGAGGGGTCAGGAGGATGGTTTGGGCAGCCCATGGCTGAGCACGAGCCTCTTGCTCTCGGGGGTCCGTACAGAGATGGAAAAACTCAGAGCGATGTGGGAAATGCTGGCGCTGTGCTCCTGCTGGCTGATGCTGTTCACAACCATGAGCATGGGTAACAGGCTGGAAATAGGGTTCATTATCCCAAAACCTGTGGGGTGAGTGGGATGGCTCAGAGCCAGGAGGCTGGGCAGGGGAAGAGCGTGACCAAGGGAGCATGAGGGGTCTCATCCTGCTGCCTTTGGAGCACAGCAGGGCTCTGCTCTGCCCACGGTGGCTTTGTCCCTGGCCAGCAGGATGTGTCTTCTCCATTAAACATGGATGGCCCATCCCTGGCTCTGTTCCATCATGAAGCTGTGGCTGTGCTGGGCTATATGGGGACACTGGGCATGGTGTCCTCCATGGGCCGGTGGCCCTGTGCACCGGCTGGGTGCAGGAGGTGGCAATTGCAGTGGGCCTTGAGGGACAGGGCTGGTGGCATCCCAGGGGTTGAAGACACTTCTCAAGGGCTGAATCAGGAGTGATCCATGCTGGCAGCATCTCCCGGTGCCTCTGAGTGCTGCAGCCCTTCTGCAGCTCCAGCCCTGGAGACACACTAGCAAGGGAACCCCTCTCCATGTCGGTTACCACCCTGCTCCATTCAGTGCTTCTCTGGGATGCAGAGCCATGGGGCAGGTGAGGGGCTCTTGGAGGATGGTGGGAGACCATGCTGAGCTTCAGGGGGTGGAGGAGGTGGCAGTTGGTATTGGCTGCTGGAGAGGGACTGTAGTGACAGGACAAGGGGTGATGGGTTTAAACTGGAACAAAGAAAGTTTAGGTTAGATCTAAGGCAGAAGCTCTTCCCTGTGAGGGTGCTGAGGCGCTGGCACAGGGTGCCCAGAGAAGCTGTGGCTGCCCCATCCCTGGCAGTGTTCAAGGCCAGGTTGGACACAGGGGCTTGGAGCAAGCTGCTCTAGTGGAAGGGGTCCCTGCCTGTGGCAGGGGTTGGAGCTGGATGAGCTTTAAGGTCCCTTCAACCCAAACCAAGCTGGAATTCTATGATTCAGGGCAGGCATGGGGTATGTGGGCAAGTCCTTCCTATGGCAATAGGAACCTCCATCCCCATGGGACTGTTGTCCTAAGTAGCACCAGCTCCACCTTAGAATGCTGTTTTGGGTCTGCTGGTGTTCAATGGAGGTGCTGAATGTGGCCCCGTTGCTCCCCCGGGGCTGTTCCTGCAGGAGGTGATTGTCCCTGAGGGCAAGTGGAGGAAGGTGTCACCCGCTTCCCTGTCCCTGTCGCTGCCGGACACCGACTACCAGTGCATCCACCGGGCCTCCGTCAGCAGCCTGAGCGCCAAGGAGAGCTCCTTCACCTCCGAGGAGCCCCTGGTTTCAGGTGAGGACACGGGTTGGGCCCGGCCCCGCACCATGTGCTGGGTGTAAACCTCCACAGAGCCACCTTCATCCATCCCGTGCCCTCGTGGAGGGAGTTTCTGCCTTGCAGACGAGCAGGGTTGCGGCTGGGAGTCACTGATGGGGTCCTGGGGATGGGATGCGGTGTGGCTGTGGGGTCTGCGCCCTCAGCGTGTGCCTGGGAGGGGGGAGCAGCTGATCCCTGAAGGCTCCCGGCAGGCGGAGGAGCACGAGCCCCGTGCTGTGCTGCTGACCCTGGGCTTGTGTTCCAGAAAGTGCAATAAACACAGAGGAGGAGCTGGAGGTGGAGCAGAGCTGCGTGGCGGAGCTGAGGCCCTCCGACTACCAGCTCCTGAAGATCTTCATCGTGCTGTGAGTGTGCGGAGCCGCCGCAGTGGGGGGGGACAGGGGGTACACAACTGGAGCACTGGCCGCTGAGCACTTGTGTTTGTTCCTCTGCCCCCAGCATCTGCCTCCTGGTCGTGTCCTCCTCGTACCTGGCGTTCCGCATCTTCCGCCTGGAGCAGCAGCTCTGCTCGCTCAACCGGGACTACCTCTCCCGTGGGCACAGGAGGTGAGGGCCCCCCGGGACACTTCGCTGTGGGGGTGTGGCACCATGAGTGGAGGACCCGAGGTGCAAAGAGCAATGGCTCCGTGCCGTGTCCCAGGGATCCCTCCTCCTTTGTCCTGCTGTTGGGATGGCTGAAGGTAGACCCCAAGGTGTCATCCCCATGCGCTGGACGATCCCATCAGCTGCTGGTTTGTGTGACTGAGGAAAGCTCTGCTGACCCTGAGACTTTCAGCCCTTGGGAAGAAGCTTTACTAGTGGGTTTGGGGCTGGTTTCTGGTTGTAGGAAGCACTGGGGTGGAGCCGGGCTGTGCCCTGAGGCTAACATGACCATGGGCATCATCAAGGGATGGACATAGGATCATAGACTCACAGAATCAACCAGGTTGGAAAAGCCCTTTCAGCCCATCCAGTCCAACCATTCCCAGCCCTGCCAAGGCCACCACTAACCCATGGCACTGAGGCCTCGTCTCCACGCTGTGTGAACACTTGCAGGGACGGTGACTGCAGCCCTGCCCTGGGCAGCCTGTTCCAATGCCTGAGCACCCTCTGGGGCAGGAATTGTTCCTCAGCTCCATCTAAACCTGCCCTGGGGCAGCTTGAGGCCGTTTCCTCTTGTCCCATCCCTTGTTCCTTGGGAGCAGAGACTGACACGAGTGGGTTCCTTGGGCTGGGGACATCGAGG